TGGTCCCTGTCCCGGTCCCGGTCCCGGTCCTGGTCCCGGTCCTGGTCCAGGTCCTGGCTCTGGTCCTGGTCCCGGTCCGTTTGTTTCAGACTTCCTGTTATGTGTTGTGCCTTCTGCCGTCCTCAGCCAGCTGGCTGCAGTCTGTGCTCAGGATGTTCTTCGGGGCGATGGCAGCAGTGGCCTGCGGGATGCTGTACGCCGGCTACCTGTCTGGGTTCCACGACAGGAAGTTCTGGTTTTCTAGCAGGCAGGTGGGTGACGATGGGCTCTCTGTGCTGCGTGTGCGGCGCCGGCTCAAGCTGTTCTGTGGCTGCAGGAGCTGGAGCGGGAAGCGTCGTTCCCGGGTGGCAGCGGCCTCTACTACCACTACTACAAGCGGCTGCTGGCGGCGCCGTCCTTCAGCTCAGGTACCGCCGCCGCCTCACCTCAGGCCGGCCGGCGCCGCCGCCGTGACCGGCTGTGATTGGTGCTTTCAGGGTTCTACGAGCTGACGGAGGATAACGGCACCGTGTCAGGCCGGACCATCAACGCCGTGGAGCGGCTGTTCCTCTACCCAGAACTCATCACCAGCTTCCTCTACCGGGTCACAGGCAGCCAGGTGAGGAAATCACCTGAGACACCTGAAACCATCTGATTCACTGGCACAGAGAACCAGGTCGGTACCAGCTGCAACCTGAACAAAGAACCACAGAAAACACACTGGGAGGCCTCTGATTGGCTCACTGGATCCACTGGAAGGCCTTTGATTGGCTCACTGGATCCACTGGGAGGCCTCTGATTGGCTCACTGGCTCCACTGGGAGGCCTCTGATTGGCTCACTGGATCCACTGGGAGGCCTCTGATTGGCCCAGATATTAATGTACAAACTCTTTATAGAGCGTTTCTTAAAATCTAAATTAGTAATAAACCAGTAAAATACGAACTGAGGATGAAAAAGTTTCACATTAAAAAGCAAAAATGTGAAGCTGTTAAACCAGAGGTTAAAGGTCGTCGTTCCTTCATCTGGAGTTCTGTGAGCTCTGACTGGGACCGGTCTGATCCGTCCTGACCCAGAACCCGTCCCCTGTGTCCCTCCAGAACCGGGTGGAGCCCGTCTCCTTCTACCTGGGCTCGGTGTTCGGCCTGCAGGCCGTCTGCGTCTCGGCACTGTTCGTGTGCAGCTGGGCCCTGAGCGGTACCTGCGTGGCTGGCATGCTGGCCGTGTCCTGGTTCGTCATTAACAGGTGAGCGGGCCGGGCCGGAGCTGGGCCGCAGCCGGGCCGGACCCGGCTGTGACGCCCCGTGTGGTTCTGCAGGCAGGACGCCAGCAGAGTGGAGCAGGGCGTTCCTCTGAGGGAGAACTGGGCCCTGCCGTTCTTCTCCTGGCAGGTGGCGGCGCTGACCGGCTTCCTGAGCCGCAGCACTGGTTCTGCTTCCGAGGTGGGTTCTGGTTCTGACCCGGCTGCTGTGGACCGGAACCCCAGCGTGGTTCTGACCCGTGTTTCCCTGCAGATGTTCTGCTACCTGATGCTGAGCGCCTGCAGCTTCAGCTTCCTGCTGCTGTGGGAACTTGGACACTACTTCCTGTTCGTCCAGGGTGTCTGCCTGGTTCTGCTGGACTCACTGGACCTGGTACCGCCGCGTAAGGTAAGGGCCGGACCGGGTCTCTGCCTGGTTCCAGTCATGAAGTAATATTGAATAAGTCTGCGGTTCTGATGGTTCGGGTCGACCCGGCCTGTTTCTCCCCAGACGGCCGACGTCTACAGGGCGTACCTGGGCTCGCTGGTTCTGGTCTACCTGGCCCAGTTCCAGAACGCCTCCCTGCTCAGCTCTCCTCTGCTCAGCCTCCTGATTGGCTCGGTGCTGGCCAGGTACTTCCAGGTAGAGTTAGCCCCGCCCCCTATGGCACGGCTGACGTGATTGGCTGCTTTGATGTGGACTGAGTGTTTGTGCTGCAGAGGAAGATGAAGATGAGGATGAAGGTGGGTCGTCTGGGCGCCAGAGTGATGAAGCTGCTGCAGGTTCACCTGGTCTTCAGCTGCGTTTTCACCTGCAGCTTCCTGGTGAAGGTGAGCTCAGCACGGTGCCTCCTACTGCCACCTACTGCCTCCTGCTGCCCCCCGCTGCAACCTACTGCCCCCCGCTGCCTCCTATTGCCTCCTACTGTCCCCCGCTGCCTCCTACTGCCACCCGCTGCCTCCTATTGCCTCCTACTGTCCCCCGCTGCCTCCTACTGCCACCTGCTGCCTCCTATTGCCTCCTGCTGCCCCCTGCTGCCCCCTACTGCCCCCTGCTGCTCTCATTCACATGGTCTCTCTCCCTTCCAGAAGCTCTTACCGGCCAGCGGCGCCGATTTCACCCTGCAGCTCTTGGAGGCCAAGTTGGGTCTGAACTCGACGGCGTGAGTCGGACACTTCCTGTTGATCCATCCAACATGGCGTCCGTCTTCTCTCACGCTGTTTCTGCTCTTCCTCCTCAGAGACTTCGTCACCAACTTCCTGCTGTGCCAGGAAGCGCTGCGGGCGCCGGGCCAGGACCTTTTCCTGCGACTGACCCAAACCTCGCTGCTGCCCTTCTATGTCCTGGTTCTGACTGTCTGCCTGCTGTCCGCCCTGCAGGTCGCCTTCAGGAGGCTCAGGTGAGCCGGGCCGGAGCCAGAACCTTTTAGCGGTTCTGTGGATGGTTGGGAGTTTGTCCAACATGGAGGCTGGCAGTTGTTTCAGATTGTGAAGGGGAACCTGCAGCTTTGGGTTGATGACATCACAGCAAGTAGGAAGATCATCATTCCAGTTGGTTCTGATCCGGGTCATAAGCTAAAGTCCCAGAGAGGAAATGCCTCCAACAGGCAGTTTAGTTCATAAAAATGAATTTAAAAGCTCTCTGCCTCCTGTGATGTCATCAGAAACGTTTGTGAGGAATCTTGTTTTTGGAGATTTTAAATCTGGTTTTCCAGCAGAATAAATCAGCTTCCTGCTGCGATGTTGTTCTGTTGGTGACAAAATGCACAGGAAGACTTTTTGGTTGAGTTTCCTGTGAAGTCGACGTTTAACCTGTCTGCCTGCCCAGCGGCCGGCCAATCAGCAGCAGCCTGAGGCTGGAGGACGGGCGAATCGCAGAGCAGCCTGCCGTCGCTTATCACCTCCTCCACACCCTGCTGCTCGGCGTCCTGACGCTGCTGTTCGACGGGTCAGTCTGTCCTGATGTCTCTGTCTGTCCTGATGTCTCTGTCTGTCCTGATGTGTCTGTCCTGATGTCTCTGTCCTGATGTCTCTGTCTGTCCTGATGTCTCTGTCTGTCCTGATGTGTCTGTCCTGATGTCTCTGTCCTGATGTCTCTGTCT